AAAAAAAGGGATCTGGACTTATGATCAGCACTGGACTTTCTGCTCTTACCACAAACCACTAGGAAGCAGAAATACAAATGCTACTCGTAACTAGAATGGAGAACTATCAACTTCAAAAAACATTACAGACAGATCCAGATCAACTGGACATGCTAATAGTACACCTGATATTTTTCTTAATTTACTAAAATTGGCTCCCTGACACCTTGAGGTGCGTGGGAAAAAAAAAAGTTCCCCTGGATGCCCCAAGATCTGGGATACTCTAATATGCTAACTCCATCTACCTCTTGTAAAGCTGAAGATGGGCCTGCTCTCCTTTCACCCTATACTGGCCTATTATTATGGAGGGGAGCTTCAATGACTGAGGCTGGAAGAAGGAAAGGCAAAATGTAATAAAAAAAAATCAAAAATAATATTGTTTATTCTACTAATGGCAGTACAATGACTAATAATTTAGTGACAGCAATAGTAATGAAGATAAAGGAAATCCTACTACTAGCAACAGTACTACTACAATTAACAATCAAGCCTAGAAGAAAAAACACATTATACGTATGAGCTTTCGAAAGGAAAATCTAGGGACATGGTAAAAATGGAAAGTGCTAATCATAGAGTGGCGACTACAAGAGTGGCAGTACACATGTATACGTGTGGAGAAAATGAGGGGCCCTAGCTGCTGCTGCTGCTGGAGAATGCATTACATATGCATCAAACTTGGGTTCAGCTTTACATCTCACCCCAAGAATTTGCTTGATCTAATGGATCGAGAGCAGAGGTGAAATGAGGACTTGTACACGCATACAGAATGGCAGCAGTACAGACTGTGTTTATATAGTCAACAGATGACTGTAGATGTGCAACCAAAGCAAGTTCTGTTTTGGTGCATATGTATGAAACAAAGAATGTTTGTCGAGTTCCAGACATGCTGCACTGATGAAGCACGCTGACCAAATTTCCCACATCCAAAGCAACAGATTATACACAGGCCTTAACAACAATATCAATTGCTTTCATTTTAAAAGTATTTGAAATGGGTACAGCGAGCATGTCAAACACACCAAATGAAAGATACGATCTGCCCCAGGAAACTGGAGATTTATAGCGTGAAGCCATAACGGCAAGACATCAATAACCTGAATTGTAGAGTAGAAGGGGGAAAAAATCCCTAATATAAAAGAGCAGCTATTGCTGTTCAGTTTTCTATAACACAGCTTTTAAAAAAAAAATTTTTGCTTTTGCAAGTAAATGGTCACAAAAGTAATTATATATATATATATATACACAAACACACTTTTGTTTCTGCTGTGTGATGAGACACCTACTGTGCCTTGAAAACGTATTCATACCCCTTGAAATTTTCCACATTTTGTCATGTTATAACCAAAACGGTCAATGTATTTTATTGGGATTTTATGTGATAGACCAACACAAAGTGGGACATAATTGTGAAGTGGAAGGAAAATTATAAATGGTTTCCAAACGTTTTTACAAATAAATATGTGAAAAGTGTGGTGTGCATTTGTATTCAGCCCCCTGGAGTCAATACTTTGTAGAACCATTTTCCGCTGCAATTACAGCTGCAAGTCTTTTTGGGGATGTCTCTACCAGCTTTGCACATCTAGAGAGGGACATTTTTGCCCATTCTTCTTTGCGAAATAGCTCAAGTTCCTTTAGATTGGATGGAGAGCATCTGTGAACAGCAATTTTTAAGTCTTGCCACAGATTCTTAATTGGATTTAGGTCTGGGCTTTAACTTGGCCATTCTAACACATGAATATGCTTTGATCTAAACTATTCCATTGTAGCTCTGGCTGGATGTTTCGGGTCGTTGTCCTGCTGGAAGGTGAACCTCCACCCCCAGTCTCAAGTCTTTTACAGACTCTAACAGGTTTTTTTTCTAGGATTGCCCTGTATTTGGCTCCATCCATCTTCCCATCAACTCTGGCCAGCTTTCTTGTCCCTGCTGAAGAAAAGCATCCCTGCAACATGATGCTGCCACCACAATGTTTCACAGTGGGAATGGTGTGTTCAGGGTGATGTGCAGTGTTCATTTTCACACCTGAGTTGTTGATCTCTGCAGTTCCTCCAGAGTTACCATGGGCCTCTTGGCTGCTTCTCTAATTAATACTTTCCTTACCCGGCCTGTCAGTTTAGGTGGACAGCCATGTCTTGGTAAGTATGCAGTTGTGCCATACTCTTTCCAGTTTCAGATAATGGATTGAACAGTGCCCCATGAGATGTTCAAAGCTTGGGATATTTTTTATAACCTAACCCTAGTTTAAACTTCTCCACAACTTTATCCCTGACCTGTCTGGTGTGTTCCTTGGCCTTCATGATGCTGTTTCTTCACTAATGCTCTCTAACAGACCTCTGAGGGCTTCACAGAACAGCTGTATTTACACTGAGATTAAATTACACACAGGTGGATTCTATTTACTAATTAATTAGGTGACTTCGGAAGGCACATGGTTCCACTAGATTTTAGTTAGGGGTATCAGAGTAAAGGTGGATGAATAAAAATGCAAACGTTTCAGATATTTGTAACAAATTGTGAAAACCATTTATCATTTTCCTTCCACTTCACAATTATGTGCCACTTTGTGTCGGTCTATCACATAAAATCCCAATAAAATACATTTATGTTTTTGGTTGTAACATGACAAAATGTGGAAAATTTCAAGGGGTATGAATACTTTTTCAAGGCACTGTAGCTAACAGCTGGGATGCCTCACTTTTGTCATTCACTGTGTGCTCTACTAATAATACAGAGCTTACTGAGCTTCAAAGAGGGCAAATTATTGGTGCCTGCTTAGCTGATGCTTCAGTGACGCTGCCAATTTGCTGTGTTGCGAGGTACAGTATCAATGGTTATGATGGCATATATAGTTTCCGGGAAAACGTCATCTGATAAGCATAAACGCGGTCGACATGGTCAACTGACCGAAAGAGACAAGAGGACATTGCAAAGGATTTTGACCCGGAAAAAGAAAACAACTACTGCAAAGTGACTGCAGAACTCAGTCTTGTGTGGCGGGAACGGTGTGGGGGGAACTCCATAAGCAAAACACTCACAGCTGCAATTGCAAAACCACTAGTGACCAATGCTAATGTTCAGAAGAGGGGAGAGTGGTGCAACACTCGTAAATCATTGACTATCAATCAATGGAAGACTGTAATATGGTCCGATCAATCAAGCTTCACACTGTTACCAACCACTAGACGTGTTTACATTTGGCAAACACCATTCCAAGCTTATGAACAGGACTGTCTTGTGCCAACAGTAAAGCATGGTGGTGGTGATGCAGTCAAGGTTTGGGCAGCCATATCTTGGAATTCTGCAGGCCCCATCATCACCTTTAAAGGCAGAGTCACTGCCAGCGACTAATGGTTCAGACATTGTTCCCCAAAGACAGCACCATTTACCAAGACGATAATGCTCCAATTCACACAGCTGGTGTTATCATATTGTGGTTTGATGAGCATGTAGACAAAGTTTCACACCTTCCCTAGGCATGGCAGTCACTGGACCTCAATATCAAAGAGCCCCTTTGGTCAATTTTTGAGGACAGGGTTCAGGCTTGTTTTCCACCTCTGCCATCTCTGCGAGAACTGGAACAATTTTTGCATGAAGAGTATTATCAGATTCCATTATCCACCATCCAAGACTTAAATTTGCCAATTTCCAGGAGAATTCAGGTCATCTTGGATATCAAAGGCGTTCCAACACCATATTAGGTAACAATTTCGTTCTTTTACCTAGTGTTTCTAGAATTTTGTCCAACCCCAGTATATTATTTATTACAGGTACTTGTATAGCGCCATCAATTCACGCAGCACTTTCACATCAGTCCCTAACCCTAAAGGGGTGTACAATCTAAAGTCCCTAACTTATATTCATACATACACATAGTAGGGTCAATTTAGACAGGATCCGATTAACCTACCAGCATGTCTGGAGTGTGGGAGAAAACTGAAGTACCCGGAGGAAACCCATGCAGGCACAGAGAACATGCAAACTCCAGGCAGGTAGTGCTGTGGTTTGGATTTGAGCCAATGACCCTAGTAATGCCAGGCAGAAGGCTGAATGAAAAAAGACCAAAGCAGGTCATAAATGTAACAAAATTCATCTGGTTCAGCAGGAACTGGCCAAATTTCAATCCATGTATGGGTAGGCGGATTGTACACAATCAACTTGTGTAGAACTAGTGTGTTGGTTATTTCCCTGAATGATCAGTGCCGCTGACTATAGCCAGCAACACTGATCATGGCATTCTGGGAGAGGCTCCCCACTGTCAGAATACAAAGTACCACAGCAGGAAAGATTCCACCATCCACCTCAAATGTGTTGATGGGGGAATCGGCTAATTTCCCCCTTACGTCAACTGGCCAGCTTAAGTCAAGGACACTCTTATCAGCAACATCCATCTGTCGCAAGTGATCCTCAGACCTGATCAGGGATCCTTTCACTCTTGAACTAATTTCTGTATGCAATGACAGAAAGCCCACCTGTCACAATGCATATTAAAAAATTTTGAAGTCAATAGTTTTTGTTTGCTGAATTTCTAGACACTAATTTTTGTTTGCTGAATTTCTATACAGATCTGTACTGTTCAGTGTAAAGGAAACTAGTAAATTGTATGATATTCCAGTCTGTATATTCAAGTCTAAATGGATATGTGTATGGTAGCCAAAAATATCCCAAACCCTTATTAATGACAATATATTTTCCATACTAACACAATTATGACCCTAACTCCAGCCAAGATTGCTTTATTTTTCCACATTGTTAGAACATCTCTCAGGTTTCCTTTACTATCCCTATGAAACCTTAAAATGCAAGGTATCATCTGGACAGGACGTGAAAGGTTAACTCCTGTGGCAGGGAACAGTAATATATACTTGGCAGAAGCTCTAAACCTTTCCCACTCTACCCAGAAAAAAATAGTTTCTAGAACTGGGCTTTTACAAAGAAAGAAGAAATAATTAGGCATGAACTGTACCTTTCTGACTAGTCGCAGTGCTTGAGTCCTCTCTACTTCATTGCTTTGCTGTATATCTATGCACCTAAAAGGCAAAACAAACCCATGATTATCATGAGGATAAACATTCAAACTCACAGTTCATATTGACATTCTCAGAGCATTATGGGCTATCTAAATAAAGAGCACGTCTGACTGAAACCTCGAATAAAAGCATACCGAGGGAGAGGGATGAGTCAGTATTCCATCTCACTGAACCTGAGCTACTGGACTCTATAAACAGGCATTTTACAACAGGAAATAAGAAGAAATTGGCAAAAGAGAACCCAAAGCATAACCTACTAGCTGGAATTTAGAATACATAAATGCAATTTTTACCTTTTTTTTTATTCTTTATTTTTTATCTGACCATAAGAAAATATACAAAATTACTATACACTCCCTTTAAATAGAATCAAACTGTTTTGGAAAATATCCTTATATTTACTAACTACACAGTTAACTTTTCATTGGATTTATTTTGACCACTGATTCTCTCCCAGTACTATATTTGTAGCAATAGTTCAAAAAGGGTGAGGAATCAGGAAAATCAATTACTTTTAAATTGTAATTTAACAATTTTTTTTTACCGCCATGGTCGCATACCACAGTCACAGCTGTCTCTCTAGCCTTACCAATTCTAAAAATTGTCATATGTGAAAAAGGATTTTTAAAATCCTGACTTTACCCAGCAACTGGCTGACCAACATATGTATAAATACTTCCCATCAGCAAGTGGTTATACCAGAATCATGGCTGCAGCCATGATTTTGCTACGTTTGTTTTTTTTTTAAGCCAGCGATCGGCTGTCTTGTAAAAGTGATCTGTGTGGCTTTACAGTTGTCCAATCGCTTTTACAGCGCTGTGAAGAATACCCTCACATTTATCAGGGTACTGCTTGAGCACAACTAAGATTTCTAAATGTTCCCTATAACATAACAAATTTACATTTGTTTTATACTTTTGTGACCAAATAACAGGATTTTTTGTTACTCACTGTAAAATCCATTCCTCCAAGTTCTTTGATTTACACAACTCTTCTATTTTTGTCTATACCACCTACGGGAGTAGGACATGAGGCAGGAAAAAAAAAAAAAAACACATAGCACCCACTTTGGGCAGTCCCAGCTAGTAAAATGCCCCTCTCTGCTATAGGGAATCCAGTCAGTCCCAAAGCAGTGCATGAAGATAGAGAAACACAAGATGGGTGAATGCTGTGTCCGTCAATTAACTCAGATGAAGGAAAGCAAAAAAAAAAAAAAAATCCTGCTTTCTTTTACGTTCATTGAGGGACATGCCTCTTCTATTCTTGACCATTTGGACATTCCAAACAGTGCCTCAATGAGGGGTGAGCAAACCAATGACAGAGGAGCTACAAAGCAAAACATGCCAACCACCCACATTCCTCCCGGGGGGGGAGAACAGGGAACATGAAACAGCGGCCTTTATAACCTTGTGGCCATAATCATCCGAAGAGGCAAACACAGCCACTATATAAGAAGTGGCTAAATTTTGCACAGACGATGAAGTAGTCACCGTGCAATGGTAAATGCCCAGGTGGGATGAGCTGTAACTGGGAAGGGAGAAACCAAACCCCAACGGGAGAGACATGAACAATCGTCTTTGGAATCTAATGGCCAGAGTGGTAGAAGAGGCCACCAGGTAATCTGAAAGCATAAGGGAGAGTCCAACACAGGGGAAGGTAGGATAATATCCTCGTTAAGACAGAAATCCAACACCACCTCGAAGAGTGCCAGACCGCAAACCATCGTATCCCTGTACAAAATTCAATGGGGAAACCTACTAGGGAAGGCCATCAGCCCCGGCACCTGCTGAGCAGAAGGGACCAAGAAAGTGACTGTGGAGAAGCGAAAGTAGGGGAAAATCCCTACCGCCCTCAAATGGAGGCTGCTATAGGACCAAAAGAATCATACTCAGGGCCCACGATGGTAATGGAGCATGCACAGGGGATGCCACATGATGAACTCCTCAGAAGAAGGAACAAAGCAAGGAGTTTGAGGATAAGGGATGTTGAAAGAGAATCATCAGGACAGAATCTGGCCCTTATTTACACTCAAGACAAGCGTGTGATCAGCACCCGTTGACAGGGACAGACTCTGGCCTCTATGCCTTCCACATTGCCCTACAGGGAGGCAGGACATGCAAAATGCTCCTACGAAAAATAGTATGCAGGGAAAGAGGATGGACTCCACTCATAACCACCCCAAGAAGTCCTGTAAAGACACTGTAATATGGATGGTCTCAATCATCTCACCGGCTACGCCCTCTGATGTTTTTTGCCCCACCCATAGGGGGCTTGGTCAGAGAGCAGCCTCTGTGACCAAGCCCCCTATAGGCAGGGCGAAACACGTCAGAGGGCGTGGCTGGAGAGACGGCTGAGACCATCCATATTACAATGTCTTTACAGGACTTCTTGGGGTGGTTATGAGCGGAGTCCATCCTCTTTCCCTGCATACTGCTTAGTTTCTACTTACAGATCCAGCGGAGCTTGCGGGCAACACTCCCGAGACAGATCCCCTCTCAAAAGAATGATGGGGGGGGGGAAGGCTGTCGGCCAGGGTAACACTGTGACACGGACGCCTGGTCATATATGTGACCTCGCAAGACGTTTAACTTGCTGGTCACCCAAGTTCAGGATGGGGCAAGTTGCAGCTGACCCAGTGCTGAGCTAAAGGTCTGTGCACACTTGTTGGCCAGACTGGGGTGACCACTGGGTCTAGATTACCCAGCCCGGCTGTTGATTGAGGATTTCTGCAGGAAATAATAAAAAAATAAGATGGGAAAAAAAAAAAAAAGATCCTGAAACACTAGGCAAAAATTACTGGATTGGCTATGGCAGTGAGGGGGAATATACCAGCTAGAACTGCTCATAGGCGGTGCTGTGTTCTTTTTTTCTGCCTAGTGTTCAGCTCCTGTAGGTGGTGCTATAACCTACGGTTAAGAATAGAAGAGCTGTGTCTGTCAATGAACGCAAGAGAAATAATTTTAGTGGAGCTTTACTTTTACAACATTTCAATATTAACTGCTTGCCTGCCGCCCTATATCAGAAATACTGCTACAGAGCGGCAGGGATGCGCAAAATCACGTATATATACTCATAGCAGAGCAATACAAAAGCAGCATGCTTACACTGTAAAACACACACAGCACACAGTTAACCCTTTGATCGCCCCAGATGTTAACCCCTTCCTGCCCAATGTCATTAGCACTGTCACTGGGGATGTCAGTGACAGTCAGTTCCCCCCAAGTCTCAGAATGCCTGCCACAGTCCCGCTATAAGTCGCTGATCACCGCCATAACTAGTATTAAATAAAAAAAAAAAAAGTCACGTATACATACTGCCATTTGTAGACACTATAACTTTCACGTAAACTAATTAATTTACACGTAATTGGATTTTTTTTTTTTTTTTAGCAAAGACATGTCGCAGAATACATTTTGTCCTAAATTTATGACAAAATGTGATTTTTAAATTTTTTTTTTACTGGACATGTTTAATAGCAAAAAGTCAAAAATATTGTTTTTTTTCTCAAAATTGGCGGGGTTTTTTGTTTGTAGCGCACAAAATAAAAACCGTAGAGGTGATCAATACCACCGAACGTAAGCTCCATTTGTGGGGGGAAAAGACATAAATTTCATTTGGGTGCAGTGTTGCATGACTGCGCAATTGTCAGTTAACGTAACCTAGCGCCCTATAGCAAAAAATGGCCTGGTCAGGAAGAGGGGTAAATTGCAGTGCCTTCAATTGAACAGGAATTAGTTCACATACACTTCACATCAAGTCAGAATGTCACTTACCTAGCTATTAGGTAATCTACTTTTAAAGTTAGCACCTTCTGTAAAATACTGGAATCTCTAATAAGATAGCGGAGGGCGCGGAGGCCAGCTGCTCGCACTTCTTTCGCTTCATTTAACAAAGCTAATCGCAAGCTGGAAAACCAAAATGAATATCATTAATTTCAGCAATCTACACATCTGTCAACATTTAAAGAGTTAGTTACATCTATCAGCACATTCATAATTTCGATGTCCAACCTATCAAGCCTGTCAGGAGGTTCTTCTGTCTGATTAAAACTTTACTTTTTTTTTTTGACTGGTCACACATCTTACAATCTGATTGTAGAATCTCCTTTGTGTTTACCAAGAACTATGAAATGCAGCAGTCTATCTAAAAATTCACAGAAAAGAGAAGTATGGCCAAACCTTTTTTGACCACCCTTCTCTTTTGGGTCACAAGAGTACATTTACTAATGTACTCCAGTGACCCATCCTCAGCTATTGCCAGCTTTCTGCTGATGGGGCAAGTTTGGGAAGAAATGGCAAAAGGGGTAGGATCCACCTGGCTGCCTGATTGATAGCTGGCTCCACCCTTTAGAGTGTGGCTGAGATCTGAAGTCCGCAACGCTCATCATCTCTCCATCCTGGCACTCCAATAAATGATGGAGGAGTAGGGCATGGTACTGCTGTCACAGCTCGGGTCCCTTCATCTTGGTCCTTCCCGGTCATCGGGAGTTGGCTTTCTCATCCAGGCTCTAACAGCCCCCCCCCCCCCCCCCCCCCCCGAAGTATATCAGGTCCACCCACCGGCCACTGTGTGCCACAGCTCCTGCAGCCTCTTGCAATATGTGATGTGGCCAAGGATGCTGCAGGAGCAAAAAATTAACAAAAAAAAAAAAAAAAAGAGGAGTAGGGGACGAGTGCAGGAAGACCTCACACAGTGTAACCAGGACATGAAGAGAGAGGAAATCCAAGGCAGCAATAAAAACCTAAATGAAATAGTCAGCACTTTGTAAACACAATGGAGTTGATTTACTAATACTGGAGAGTGCAAAATCTGGTGCAGCTGTGCATAGAAACTAATCAGCTTCCATTTTTTTTGTCAAAGCTTAACTGAACAAGCTAGAAGCTGATTGGTTACTCTGCACAGCTGCACCAGATTTTGCACTCTCCAGTTTTAGTAAATCAACCCCAATGCATTAAAAACAGTATTGTTAGCTATATATTTGTCAATCTATATGGAAGCCACACCACCTCATTAAAGGCACACCTATATAGTCAGTTAAAGGGCCTTGATGAGGTAGATTGATCCACATAGATTTGCAAATATCTGCAACTAACATCTCTACTTTTAATATATAGTATTGAAGGGGTGCTGAATTTTTCTTTAACCGTTTGCCGACCATGCACTGTAGTTTTACTGGCTGTGCAAAATCACATATACAGTATGTACAGTTGTGTTCAATATAATAGCAGTGTGTTGAAAAAAGTGAATAAAGCTCAAAATCCTTCTAATAGCTTTTATTTCCATACACACAAATGCATTGGGAACACTACACATTCTATTCCAAATCAAAACATGAAGAAAAATAGATCAAATTTGTGTTGTTCCTCTAAAAAAAATTGAAGAAAAGTGAATATTAGACTGTTCAAAAATATAGCAGTGTTTGTATTCTTCTTTACACGTTTACTGGTGTGTTTGGGGTCGTTGTCTTGTTGGAACACCCATTTCAAGGGCATTTGCTCTTCAGCATAAGGCAGCATGACCTCTTCAAGTATTCTGATGTATTCAAACTGATCCATGATCCCTGGTATGCGATAAATAGGCCCAACACCGTAGTATGAGAAACATCCCCATATCATGATGCTTGCACCACCATGCTTCACTGTCTTCACAGTGTACTGTGGCTTGAATTCAGTGTTTGGGGGTGCCTGACAAACTGTCTCCGGCCACTAGACCCAAAAAGAACAATCTTACTTTCATCAGTCCACAAAATGTTGCGCCATTTCTCTTTAGGCCAGTCAATGTGCTCTTTGGTAAATTGTAACCTCTTCAGCACATGTCTTTTTTTCAACAGTGGGACTTTGCGGGGGCTTCTTGCAGATAGCTTGGCTTCACATAGGCGTCTTCTAATTGTAACAGTACTCACAGGGAACTTTACACCTTCTTTGATCTTCCTGGAGCTGATTGTTGGCTGAGTCCTTGCCATTTTGGCTATTCTTCTATCCATTTGAATGGTAGTTTTTCGCTTTCTTCCATGTCTTTCAGGTTTTGGTTGCCATTTTAAAGCATTTGCGATCATTTTAGCTGAGCAGCCTATCATTTTCTGCACTTCTTTATATGTTTTCCCGTCTCCAATCAACTTTTTAATCAAGGTACGCTGTTCTTCTGAACAATGTCTGGAACAACCCATTTTCCTCAGAATTTCAGAGAGAAATTCACTGTAACCAGCATGTACAACATTTGCTGCCTTCCTTCCTTAAATAAGGGCAATAATTGCCACCTGTTTTTCAAAGAATGAATGACCTCACTAATGGAACTCCACACTTCTATTATTTTGAACATGCCCCTTTCAATTAGTGATTCAATTACACAGAATCAGCAGCATGCATGTCATGACTGTTGGGTCTGTTGGATTTCTATTACTCTACTACACCTGCTAGTAAATTATTTGCCATGTAGAAATATAATTTCTACCAAAAACAGTGATTGATCAGGTTAGTGATGTCTGACTGCTATTATCTTGAACACAACTGTACATGTGATTTTGCTTTTCCTGATAGAGGACGTCAGTGCACACCTACCCACTGTGTCATTAGCTCCCTGAAATGCCGATCAGTGGATCCCGATCGATGAATCACGGGCGGGACTCGCCGATTGTTGGAGTTAGTGACAGGAGAGAGTTCTGTGTTGGTAAACAACACAGATCTCTCTACTGACAGCGGAGATGTGCCGGTCACATCACATCTGCACATCCCCTAGTAAAACAGCAAATTAAAACATTACATATAGTTAGGCACAAAGCTAACACTTTGATTGCCCCAGATGTTAACCCCTTCCTGCCCAGTGTCATTAGTACAGTGTCTGTGCATTTTATTAGCACTGATCACTGTATTAATGTCAGTGGTCATGTCAGTTAGACAATGTCGGAATGTCAGCCAAACTATCACAGTCCCGTTATAAGCTGCTGAAATAGCCACCATTACCAAATTTTCTCACAAACCAATTAATACACACTTATTGGGAATTTATTTTCACTAAAGACAAGTAGCAGAATACATTTTGGCCTAACTTTATGAAGAAATTTAATTTTTATAGGATATGTTTTATCGCAAAAAGTAAATGTTTTTTTTTTTTTTTAATTTTCGCTTTATTTTTAATTTATAGCACAAAAAATAAAAAACCCAGTGGTGATCAAATAGCACCAAAAAGCTTTTGTTTGTATAAAAAAAAAAAAATATATATAAATTTCATTTGTGTACAGTGTTGCATGACTGCACAATTGTCAGAGTAGCGCACCGCCGTATAGCAAAAAATGGCCTAGTCGTGAAGGGGATGGGGGGAGGGGTCTGGGGCAGTGTAAATCTTCCAGAGGACAAGTGGTTAAAGGATAAGATCACCTTTTGTAATATGTTACACCCATATTTAGGGTGTAACATGTAACATGTTACAATTGTACAGCACAATCCCCCAGACCCCCCAGATCACACCTCACTTCCCACCTCCTTCAAAGAGGGCGAATTGTTAGTGCCCGTGACTGAAATTGCCAATTTTCCTTGTTACGAGGTACAGTATCAAAGTTTATGATGGCATATAAAGTTTCCGGGAAAGTTGACCATGCTATCAGACAATATTTTTCGGGAAACTGTATATGCCGTCACAACCTTTGATACTGGACCTCGTGACACGGCAAATAAATTGGCAACTTCAGTCACAGAGGCACCAGCTAAGAAGCACCAACAATTGCCCTCTTTGAAACTCAGTACGCTCTGAGAGATGACTCGGTATTACTAGCAGCACACGCAGTGAATGACGAAAGTGAGGCTTCCCACCTGTTATCTAGGTGTCTCGTCACACAGTAGAAGCAAAAGAATGTTAAACACAGGCATGTCACACTGACCAAGATGTTTGATCCAAACAGCGTCTGAGTCCATACGATGGAACTCTGGATGATCAACGGGCTATCGCGTTTCGAAAACACAACCTCTTCCTCAGGGCCAACTCTGAGGCTCTGAGGAAGAGGTTGTGCCCTCGAAACGCGTTAGTCAGTTGGTCATCCAGGGTTCCATCGTATGGACTCAGATGCTGTTTGGATCATACATCTTGTTCAGTGTGACATGCATGTGTTTTTATGTCTATTGTGAGTATGATGCTTACTTTGTTCCTTCAATAAATATATTTAAAACAATAATGCACTAGGTCGGTGCGCCCTCTTTTTTGTTTCTCCATTTGCATTTAGTGTATTTGGACCACCCCGGTCTGTAGAGGGCAGCAAGCAGCAGTGCATATTCCAGAATATTCCAGAACATTCCTATTGGTTCTTCTGAGTCCATTCCCAGCGCAGGAGAAAAGTGTGTGTTGTGTTGGAAAAGAATGTTACTTCCCTTTCAATGCAAAACATGACGTCACTTTCACAAATGCAAATCATGCAGTGTTTCCATTTTTTTGTCTAACCCCTGTAAATATATTTAGCATGGCTCTACATATAAATAAACTAACAATTTTGTACTTACCAAATAATTATGTCTTCATACATAAACCCTAATTTTTCTTCATTGTGGCCAACGTTGCATAGAAGCTGAGGGACATAAGAGAAAACACAGTTATAAGAATAGTAGCTATAACGGATTTTTACAAATGAGTGCAAAGCGCAACAATATTCTATCACCCACAGCAATAAAATATTCACGCAAAATTAAAACCAAGAACAAAAGTTTAATATATTGCAGCTTATACTGTATGGTGGTTGTACTTGTTTTTTTTTTTCCACCTGATTTTCAACATTGTCACTCTAGAATAGGAAAGCTTTTTAAGACTACACAACAACTCATTCACTCTTCTACATAACATGTAAGTCTTCTGTAGTTCACGGAGATAACTGGAAAGAACAGTAATACATCAGAGGCAGCACAGACAGAGGACACAGGAAGTTATCAGCTTACAAAACCTCAGGCAGGATCAACAAGCATTTTTTCAGCAAACAAAACACTTTCAATTGCATATTAAACAAATTAAAAGGGGGAGCAAATAAAGTTTATTGTTAGGGTTCACATACACATCACATTTTTTTTTTTTTTTTTGAAAGTGCAAAAACACCTGTAATCCTGCCAGGAATCTTGTGAGCTGATAATTGGTGGTGCACCGAAATTAAAATTCTGGTGCCGAAACCGAAAATTCAAAATACACTTGGCCAAAAACCGAAACGCAGTTTTTAAAAATGAATATATATTTTTTGGAAACAAATACACTTTGATAAAAATATACAAAAAAAAACAATATATACCCCAATTTGTTTGTAAAGTATGAAAGATGTTACAGCGAGTAAATAGATACCCAACATGTCACACTTTAAAATTGCGCACGCTTTTGGAATGGTATGAAACTGTGGTACTTAAAAATCTCCATGGGTGATGCTTTAAAAATTTCTACAGGTTAGCAGTCTGTAGTTACAGAGGAGGTCTTGTGAGAGAATTATTGCTCTTGCGCTGACGTTTGTGGCGATACCTCACATGTGTGGTTTGAACACCAACATATGTGGGCATGGCCTACGTATGCGTTCACCACTACGTGCAAGCACGGGGAAACGGGGCACTTAAAAAAAAAATTTTTTTTTTAATTTATTGAGCAAAATTTTGGTACATCCCTCCTGATAATTCCCTGTGCTCTCTGCCTGTGAATGATATTTTTCTCAGCAATCGATCTCTGAGGAACTGCACCCCTCTATGTTGTAATGAAGAGGAAAGGAAAGTAGTCCTGTAGTCCTATCCTGCTTCAGTTATCCTGATGCAGAAAGGTGATTGAGCGCTGTCATCCTAACAAAATCACACGGTGAGGAAAAAAAAAACAATCCAGCCACCATATCTAAGAACTGGTTGGCTGCAATTTATTTCATTTTTGTTTTTATGTTTCCATAAACTATCATCATGTAGTACCTTTTGTACAAGCTGCATTTCTAAGTGTAACTAAACAACAGTAAAATCACTCTGTAAATGCACTCAAGCATGTTTGTTATACTAACTGTGGAACCCAAGGGGTTAATCCTCCATATTGTGTAAAAAAGCTGTTTGATTCTGTCTTCTTTAATTCTCCCTTTTTCCACAGTCCCCAATCCATCTGCTGATAATACAGAGCCATAGGAGGCACTCTCATGCTCAGTTTGGTGTGTATTGCAAGAGGTTTTTTTTTTTTTTCTTTGTGAGTGTGCAAGTGATCAGCACAGGGCCAATCAGCACTGCCCAGACAGAGCTTTAGGGGTCACGCAGCTTCATAGAATAGTCAGAGCAGAATGAAAACTCCTACAAGATTAACCAGTGCTCAGCCGGACACTGATAGAAGTCACAAGAGTGCTTCATACTGCTGATCAGAAAAGGTATTTAGCAGTTTATATTTACTAAAATAATTGCATTTCCATGTTGTGTGTACTGTGGGAGACCAGATATAGTGAATGCAGGGTTCTGGGTTTAATAACACTTTAAGGCAAGTTCCCACCTTCTGAGAGTAGCCCACTTGGTCCAATACTTACCTTCATCCCTGTTCCAGCAAGCTTCACTGAGCATTCCTGCCTGCAGCTGCAAAGCCATTCTTTTTAAAGTGTCCCCATCATGTTTGCTCCTTCAATGGCCATTGGGCTGCCCATTTGGTCTACATATGTTTTCTGCAGATCTAACAGGCAGCCCAACAGCCAGTAGTAGGAAGGTGCACAGAAAACTTACAATGCTGCACCTAATTGCAAGGCAGCAGATAAATATTTTTAGATTTCAACAGGAAGTGCTGTTTCTGGCAGGATCTCCGGATGCACTGCTTCTATTTGTGGTATTAGAATGTAGTGAAGGAGATGACTGGAGAGTTGACTAAGAAAATCTGAAGATAAAATAAACTAGTTAAAGTAGATGTAAACCCTCACCTTGTAAAACAACCTATTCAGTTAAAAATAGAAATGAAAGGCAAAGCATTTGTGCATACGGTGGATATACAAAGTCTACACATTAAGGTGGAAAAAGTTCTGAAATGATTTATCTTTGTCTCATTTTTTTTACATCACAGAAACCAGACATTTTAACAGGGGTGTGTAGACTTTTAATATCCACTGTAGATATAAAAAAACAAGACAAATACCTTGTTTTCCCTGTTTTATAGGTGATCACATACCCTCTAAGCTCTTATGTGGCTGAGAACAGATCTGGGGTTGGAGAAAGAGCAGTACACTGATCTTCCCAGTGAAAGGCTGTGCAAGGTGGGGTATGTGAGCACAAGCCTAATCATTGCAGGAGAGCAGGCTGAGTTCCCAGCACAACTCCCCATACCTAGTGTGGTCAGTTTTTAATAGGGAAGCAGTTGGACTAGAAGGAACACCAGGGATTTCACACAAAGCATGCAATACAGGATACTTTTTCATACAAGTACATGATACAACAGGCACATATCAGGAATATGAAATGTTGGGTTTACATATTCTTTAAGATAAGAGTTATTTCTTTGCAAGGGAGAAGAGGTCCATCACCTTGGGCCACTAGTAGAAAAAAATGAGGATCACGGAGCAGGGGTAGGGTTATATGGTGGGCGTGCCCTTGAAAGCTTAGCCAGTGTCCAATCACATGAAGGTATAACCCAGGGTCTATGAATACCTGGCGTGTGTCCTATACTGTATTAGTAAGATAATAAATGTTGAGTTTGCATACATTATATTGCCAAACGTTTTGGGAGGCTGCCTTTACATACACATGAACTTTAATGGCATCCCAGTCTTAGTCCATAGGGATCAATATTGGGTTGGCCCACCCTTTGTATCTATAACAGCTTCAACTCTTCTGGGAAGTCTGTCCACAAGGTTTAGGAGTGTGTCTATGGGAATGTTTGACCATTCTTCCAGAAGCGCATTTGTGAGGTCAGGCACTGATGTCGGAGGGAGAAGGCCTGGCTCACAGTCTACGTTCTAATTCATCCGAAAGGTGCTCTATTGGGTTGAGGTCAGGACTCTGTGCAGACCAGTCAAGTTCCTCCACCCCAAACTCGCTCATCCATGTCTTTATGGTCCTTGCTTTGTGCACTGGTGCAGTGTCATGTTGGAACAGGAAGGGGCCATCCCCAAACTTTTTCCCACAAAGTTGGGAGCATAAAATTGTCCGAAATGTCTTGGTAAGCAGATGCCTTAAGAGTTCCCTTCACTGGAATTGAGGGGCAAAGCCCAACCCCTGAAAAGACAACCCCACACCATAATCCCCCCTCCACCAAACTTTACACTTGGCACAATGCAGTAAGGCAAGTACCATTCTCCTGGCAACCGCCAAACCCAGACACGTCTATAGGATTGCCTGACAGAGAAGCGTGATTCATCACTCCAGAGAACACATCTCCACTGCCCTAGAGTCCAGTGGCGGCGTGCTTTACACCATTGCATCCACCTATTGCATTGCACTTGGTGATGTTAGGCTTGGATGCAGTTGCTCGGCCATGGAAAGCCATTCCATGAAGCGCTCTACGCACGGTTGCGCTAATCTGAAGGCCACACGAAGTTTAGAGGTCTTCAGCTGTTGACTCTGCAGACAGTTGGTGACTTCTGCACACTGGGTGTTTCAGCATGTGCTGACCCTGCTCTGTCATTTTACATGGACTACCACTTTCTGGCAGAGTTGCTGTTGTTCCCAGTTGCTTCCACTTTGTTATAATCCCACTAACAGTTGACCGTGGAATATTTAGAAGCAAGGAAATTTCACGGATGGAGTTATTGCACAGGTGGTAACCTATCACGGTTCCACACTTGAATTCACTGAGCTCCTGAGAGCGACCCATTCTTTTCACAAACGTTTGTAGAAGCATCTGCATGCCTAGGTGCTTGATTTTATACACCTGTGGCCATGGAGGTGATTGAAACCCCTGAATCCAATGATTTGGAGGGGTGTCCTGATACTTTTGTCAATATAGTGTGTCTGAAGCAATCCATAAAATTGATATTAGAGCATAGATTTAAAATCAAATAGACCTGATCACCTGAAAATTTAGCTTTATGTTTCTTTATATTTTGCCATAGTAATATATATTAAGTGCAATGGCTAAGCTTGCTATAAGTAATGCATAACCATCCATCTGGTAAGTATATAACTAAGCCACACCAGTTTCTACAGCTGCATTTGCAAGCACAAGTTGTTTTTATGTCAATTTCCCATACAATGTGGCATCTCAATGTGTGAACTGCTTCTTCAAGATAAAAATATGATTCTACTTTCTGGTAAATGGTGCTAAAAACCGACCCACACTTTCCAGAACCCAGAATGTTACAACGTGTAACTCAGAACTAAAAACAAGAGTCGTAAACAGGAAGCAACATCAATGCTTTAAACTGTTCATAAAATCACCAGTCAGCTCATATATAACTCATAGTGAAAGCCCCTCTGAGTCTCTGTAGTTGTCAGATAAGATAACAATCAAGTCTCTTCAAGCATTTTCCCAGTTTTATCACAAATAAACTTAGGTTGGTCATAGACAGTGCAAGTGCAAATTTTGCAAGAAATTTGCATGATTCCCCCATCAACACAGACAATGTTGACAGGGAAATCCCTCCTGCTGAACAATTCTACCTGAAG